CCATGCCAACAAGTCGCTCATACACTGGAACAATCACAACGCCGAGAGAAGACCCATGCAGCTGGTGGTCGCGTTTCCAGGTCACCTTGGTGAGCGCCGTGGGCGGTAGCGGCAATGTTGACGCGACAAGTCATCAGCTTTCCATGAGTTGATCCGTTTGTCGTTCGAAATACAGCCATTAGAAAGGGAACGCTGAGCTCGTACAGAATAGTTCACTTGCCCTTTATTAACTAATAGTTAACTATATCACAGGGTCAGAAATCCGACCCAACTTAACCATAAAGTGAAGGGCCTATTTGACAACACCAAGGAATAACAATTTGAAAGATAAAGAGAGGACAAAACACAATCAATTTTTTCTCTAAGGAATGTCTCTATTTGGGAAAACTCCACCGTGGCACGCACGCCTCCCGTATTCCACACCACGACCAAAATAAAACATACAGTAACAGGATGCACAAGGTTGCATTAAATATTTTCTTTACATTTTAATACAAAGCAATACATACAAATAAATAGCGAGAAAAACACGCGTTGAACAAGTAATAAAACTTAGAAATAGCCGAAAATTGTTATACACGCGTTTATTCGAACATGGCAATATATGTGCTTCAACATCAACACCATAACACTAAGACACATGTAGTAGGTATTGGTTAGTAGACATGTGTCCAGTGTCCTTAGGAAGTGTCAGTACATTCTTCAATAGAGCAATGCAAACAATGCCTTAGGTGGCACATAATCTGCCGAGGGCGACACGACAGGAACACCCCGTCAAGCTTGTAAAGTTGTAGGTACAGACAGCACATAGCAACAGTAGCCGCCTTTACGTACACGGGATGAATAGAGTATAAAGATTTACATAACATGCCAACCTACGTTAGACCGGCGCCCTGTCGACAAAGACTGCGCACATAATGCGGAATGCTGCAAATACTGGAGGGAGCCAAAGCCACACAAAGAAGCATTATTTCGATATAACCGGACGCTCTCAACCCATTAATGCTGGAATTTCATTTTTTTTTGATTCTTAAGTTATCCTTAACAAATGTTAGCCACATGGGTCCCAGTAAAAAAAAAAACTGCAAGCTTTAAAAAACTGTTCCATCGGTTCTCAAGTTATAGGCATGGGCCATAAATGACCCAACCGGCATTAGTATAGTCACAAATGGGAGTTATCACGAAAACTGATTTATCTAGATATCTTATTGTGTAATGTGTATACTAGGGTGGCACTTAAAAATCAATTTTTGATTTTTAATGCGTGCGGGTGGTTTTCCGGTTCCATCCCCGTAAAAAATAAGGGAGGCAAATTTTTATGGGAAAATATTGATGTTTAGAGGTCGCGAATCAAGGTCAAAATTGAGATTTTGGTAGCAGATTTCAACATCATTAAAATCGTTTCTGACTTTCCTATTACGCTGTAATCGGATGATAATAAGGCATTTCTTAGTCATTTTCATATTGTTTATTGATATTTCATGCAGCTTCGGTCACGCCAGAACGCTGGTCTATGTACTCCACTACTCCAGTTCCTCCTCTTTAGTAGATTATTGGCGCCTCATTGGAGGGAGGGGTATCATGGGCAACGGGCACCCAGATCACTTTGTGTGTAGCCTGGTTAGCAATTGCAGTCGATCTTCGGGTGTCAGGTTAGCGTTTTCTGTGATCTATTCAACGAAATGGAGGAAGAACTGGCGCTAATCTTTGTCTTTCATGAGTGCCAGTCCTACATCAGCGCCATACCGCGCCTGGTGAAGTCATTCACCACCCGCAGCTCCCGGACTACACGAGCTGCGGTTTGGTAGCTGCTGTCCTCCCAGTGGCCTAGGTCATTGATGATGAGCCCCGCGTCCAGGTCGTGGATCCTTGAGGCTTTTTGAACGATGGTGTGAGGAAGCTCGCCAACGTCTCGGTCGCGAGAGCGGCGTTCATAGTGTCCACTAAGAACTTATGGGGCGGGTCCTCGTCCTCCCTCTCCTACAAGTCTATTGCCAGCACCATGTCTTGATTGAGCCCGAGAGTCGGGGTCTAAAAGCTCCAGAGTCACCAGCCGATCACTCAAGTACTACAAGTGACGGCCGAAGACCGGGACTGCACCTACCCCGACGACAGCTCCTTGTCGGGGTAGGTGCAGAACGAGTTCACGAAGGTCAGGTCCAGAGCCGGTGCAGTGGCAGTAGAGTCCTAAACCAGGCGGCGGCAAACTTGCAGGCAACGGACAGCGACAGCGTCTGATGACCTGGGCCTCGGCCGCCGTCAGCCGGAGCCGCTCCCTGAAGAGGAAGGCATCCACAGTGCGGATGGTCTTTGCCATCCATCTAACTCAGTGGAGTACTCTGAGGCGGAGAAACGGATGCCGTGCTTGGAACTCCACCGAGAGCAATTACGCAGAGCTCCAGAAGTTTTCGGTAGTCTTCCCGGAGCTAGGCATAGTCCAGCGATGGAAGCGATGGAAGCTGACCAGCAGCTCGTCCCACTCCGGAACGTTGTCGACGGCGAACGCCACCGGTGTGATCCTGTCAATGAAGTATGAACTCCCACCCGCCTTTGAACCTCTTAAACAGCCGGATGTAGAGGCCGCTCGAGATTCTAGGGCAGGTGGAGAAGGTCTTCTCTAGGACCAGCTCGTACACGTGGTGCCGGCAGGCCAGCTGGAGGACGGGCCGATCCAGCTTCTGCTCGATAAGGGCTTAAGTACCGCTCACCAGCATGCTGTTCGCCGTCGTGGCGTCGAAGCAAAAGGCCGCAGTTCCGCTTCTCCAGTTCTTAGTCCCCCAGCGCTGTGAGCATGGCCTCCTGTGCTTGGATGGAGGGGAGGTTGGGAACGGCGAGGAGCTTGGCCACCCCAATCCCTCCCCCCTCCCCATCACCAGGACCTAGAATCGGTCGACGCTCCTTCTCTCGCGGCTCAGTATTCGCGGTTCAGTCGGAGTCGTATCCTAAGTTCCGTGCCGCAGTTGATAACAGGTTCACGTGTTCTTCACACATTACGGTTGGGCAGTTTGGCCCGGTCGAGGCCAGTTCACTGTTGGGGACGTCCGCTCGCCCGCATGCGCTTGGGAGTGTGAGTCAACGTTTCTCTCTCATGGTAGCCATCGTCAAAGACGTTCCCTCCGTGTGCGCGCCGCAACGGCCGGGTAAGTCTGCTGCTGGCACTGGCACTAGAGTCGGAAGGAGCGCCCACGGAAGAACATCCCGAAAGCACAATAAACCAGTGCAGCTCAATGCACACTATCGCCTCTGCTTTCGCCCGCCGGCGATAGGCTGACTCCAACTTCTTCACATTCTCTTTGACAGAAAAGGAGCATGTCTCAAGAACCGATAGAACCGTGGGGCTCGTCCTCCCTTTGGAACAGGAGAGACCGGTCACTCCTCACACTAATCAGAGGATATGACCTCCACTGTGAGAAGGCACCGGTCGCAGGCCAAAACAGGCCTGACATGGGTAAAACAGCCCAGATCAGACCTGTCTTGGCCTGACCTGGACTGGCTACGATCGGCCGGAAGTGATGGGATTAACAATTGTTATACAAACAAAGGTCAAAATACGTCTGAAATGACGCTTAATGACCACATATGTCATTCCAAATAGGTTTAAAGTAGTTTCCAAAAAGTTGATTTTTTGCCCAAAAATGTCAACTTTGACCTCAATTCGCGACCCCTAAATATCAATATTTTTCAAAATCATTTTGCACACATTATTTTTTACGGGAATGGAACCAGAAAACTACCCGCACGCCTAAAAATCGGATAACATAAAATTCACCCTATTGCTAAGTACCACCCTAGTGTATACTGTATACCTACTGTATGGCGGTCTCAGCCAATCGATATTAAGACGCACTGCATTGCAATGCATTGCGACGTCTCATTGGCGAGGCTGGTGGTGCCGCTGGCAGGCCTGTGGCGCCCCTGCTAGGCTTCTGGTGCCCCTGACACTGTCAGGGACACCATAGGCCAGACAGGCCTATGGTGTCCCTGGAAGGACTGTGGTGCCCCTGGGCCCTGACAAGCCTGAGGTGCCCCTGACAGGCTTTTTGAGACCCTGACAGGTCCGCGGTGCCATTGCTAGGCCTGTGATGCCCCTGGCAGGCCTGTGGTGCCCCTGGCGGGCCTGTGGTGCCCCTGCTAGGCCGCTGGTGCCCCTGGGTACTGGCATGACTGTGGTGCCCTTGACAAGCCTGAAGTGCTCCCAACAGGCCCGTGGAGCCCTTTACAGGCCCAAGGTGTCCCTGCGAGACTGGTGGTGCCCCTGTGAGGCCGGTGATGCCTCTGCGAGGCCGATGGTGCCCCTGGTAGGCCGATGGTGCCCCTGGTAGGCCGATGGTGCCCCTGGCAGGCATCTGGTGCCTCGGGCAGGTCTGTGGTGTTCTTGCTAGGCCGATGGTGCTCCTGCAGGCATGTGGTTCCCCTAACAAGCCTGTGCAGTGGTACCCCTGACAGGCCCGTGGTGCCCTTGCTAGGCTTGTGGTGCCCCTGTCAGGCCTGTGGTGCTACTGATAGGTCGGTGGCGCCCCGGGCCCCAAGGGGGGGGGGGTCATGAGTGACCCATGTGATGTGCGGATCCCCTCCTTCGGATCCGCCACTGTGATCTGATCACAACCCCCAGAAATAAGTAATCGTATAATCATCAGCTGCTTCCATTGTATTTAACATAGGTACTGAGTAAATTGATAACACTATTGCCGGCTGGGTCATTAATGACCCAAGGATATTTATTGAGGAACAAAAGTTATCCGGTGACGAGAAGGGCAAAAATACATGTCATACTTTTTCAGACAAATTTAAATAGGTAGACGATCATTCAACAGATAGTAAATTGCAAACATAATACAACATTACTTTTTGGGACGGCGCGCCATTGCCAGTGACCGGCTGCTGTGCAGTCCCGTCGTCTTTGGCTCCAGCCTCCAGAAACTTCAGTGGACGAGCTCACACCAGTTTTATGCCGCTCCGACTGTCGTCACTAAACCCACAAAATCGACAAAACACACGCGCAAGTTCATCAAAGTGCCATTTGCCTCCATTGAGAAGAAACATGAAGATTTTGCTTTTGGGTCATATATGACCCAAGCGGCATTAATGGGTTAAAAATGGCGCTACGGCGCTTAAAATAACGACAGTTCCACAGTCCTTTCCTCCTATGTAAGGGCGGCTATTTTAAATACACAACCACTGAATCACACCGGATAAGTACAAACAAACCAGATATGACACTGGTAGCCACGAAGCTCACAAACGAGAGTCAGAGCTATAACACGAATAACTAACGTACAACGGGGGCTGGTCATGCACTTGTCGTGAAGCCTCAGCACTGTGTTTCGACATTTAAACGATTTACCGCTTCGGTCACTCACAGCTTGTTATTCTCACCAGTGAACCAACCACTTTAAAACGTATTTTTTGTGTCAAACTGCCGAACCGTTGCTGATGTAGAGGCAACCGTGTGGCCGCTCTTCGCGTGGGTCCGCATGTGTCTGAAGAGATATGCCCGTCGAGTGAACCGGGCCTGGCAGTGTGAGCAGCCGTACGGCCGCTCCCCCGTGTGGGTCCGCATGTGTTTGATGAGACTTCCTCCTTCAGCGAACCGGGCCTGACACCGGGAGCAACTGTACGGCCGCTCCCCCGTGTGTGTACGCGTATGTTTGTTGAGGCTTGACCGTTGAGAGAACCGTGCCGCGCAGATGGAGCAGCCGAAAGGCCTCTCCCCCGTGTGGGACCGCATGTGTTTTTTGAGGCTTGACCGTTGAGTGAACCGGGCCTCGCAGTGTGAGCAGCCGTACGGCCGCTCCCCCGTGTGGGTCCGCACGTGTTCGTTGAGATATGCCCGTTGAGCGAACCGTGCCGCACAGGTTGAGCAGCCGTACGGCCGCTCCCCTGTGTGGGTGCGCATGTGTTTTGTTAGGGTAGACCGTTCAGTGAACCGTGCCGTGCAGATGGAGCAGCCGAACGGCCGCTCCCCAGTGTGGGTCCGCATGTGTGCAGTAACATGTGAGCGTTCAAAGAACCGTGCCTTGCAGATAGAGCAGCTGTGTGGCCGCTCCCCAGTGTGCGTTCGCATGTGTCCGGTGAGTTTTGACCGTTCAATGAATTGTGCCTTGCAGAGGGAGCAGCCATACGGCCTCTCCCCAGTGTGGGTTCGCTTGTGTCTGATGAGGTGCGCCTGGTCAGCGAATTGTGCATGGCAGAGGGAGCAGGCATACGGCCGTTCTCCCGTATGGGTCCGCGTGTGTGTGGTGAGAGTGGACCGCTGAGCAAACCGTGCCGTACAGATAGAGCAGCAGTGGGGTCGCTCTCCCGTGTGAGCCATGCGGTGGCGTTTCATACGGGTGGACTTGTCGGTCGAGTATTGACACCGCTCGCACTTGAATCTCCCGTTCCTGCCGATGTGACCGTGACTTATCTTCACGTGTCTGTCCAGATGTTGTTGTCCCAGACATCTGACGTTGCAGTGGGGACATTGAAGTGTGCGACCAACACCTGTGAAACACATTGAGAGAAGAGGGATGTCGACAATGTTTCTGGCCAAATATGAAAAATCAGGCAAAAATGATTTCATCCTGGGTGATACTCAATATAAAAAATGAAGGACATGCATCGCATCCTCAGTAGCGATGCATTACTTGTCGGTGAAGCAGGATTAGGGCGCCAGCTGTGCCGTCCGCATCTGGACGAAGAAGTTTGAGAGCCACTGAAGGTACAGTCACCAGCACTTGCTACTAATCACCTCGTTTTTGTTCAGTAGTTTGAAGACCGATCAATTCTCAGTCGCGCAAGATACGTCAAACGATCCGTTTGGTCCTCCGATTTTCGAATATCTAACTTGTTTTTGTATATTCGAAGCATTTTGGGATGGGGAGCCAAAAAACCTCTTTTCTGCCCTAAAAAGTGCCCCAGGAAGTCGTAGAACCTAGCCCCGCCTCTGATCCACAGACCACTAGTGCCATCTCTTGTCAGCCGAACAAGCCGCAGAAGTAAATAACGTCACGTGACCTTTGCACACGCTACAATTACTACGCAGCTGTAGTGGGGGAAGCGGGGCGGAGGCGTGGAGAGGGACGCGATCGGTCGGCTGGGGTCAGGTCGCCGAGGTCAGAGGTCATCCGCCGGAGGGTGTTTGAGCGGTTGGGCCGTGTGGGCTGGGGCCTGCGGAGTGGGGAGCGCCTGGACCTATCTGGAAGCAAGCCCTACAACGCTGTGACAGTCGAGAATATTGTGAGGAAAGAGAGAGAGGGAGAGAGAGAGAGAGAGAGAAAGAGAGGGAAAGGAGAGAGAGAAAGAGAGAGGAGCGAGAGGGAGGGAGAATAAGAGGGAGAAAGAGAGAGGGAGAGAGAGAAAGAGAGAGGAAGAGAGAGAAAGAGAGGGAGAGAGAGAAAGAGAGAAGGAGAGAGAGAAAGAGAGAGAAAGAGAGGGAGAGAGAGAGAAAGGGAGAAAGAGGGGGAGAGGGGAGAGCGAGAGCGAGATAAAGAGAGCGAGAGAGAGAGAGAGAGCGAGAGAGCGAGAGAGAGCGCGAGAGCGAGCGAGCGAGAGAGAGAGAGAGAGCGAGAGAGCGAGAGAGCGAGAGAGAGAGAGAGAGAGAGAGAGAGAGAGAGAGAGAGAGAGAGAGAGAGAGAGAGAGAGAGAGAGAGAGAGAGAGAGAGAGAGCTAAGAAAGACTGGAGGGAAGGGATAAATAAGGACGGGAGGAGAGAAAAGAGAGACAGAAAAGGAAAACCAGAGAGGGTAAAATGAGAAAGAGGGCAATGGGGTAAATCAGTGAGAGGGAGCGAGAGAGGAAATATTTAGTTGTGTCAGCTTGTTTCACATGTAAAATGTAAATTTGCTTTTCATCATTACAGCTTCGGATTGGAAATTAAATCTTAGCATCCTTATGATAAACCCACGTTGACGGGATGCAGTAGCGGCGGAATACCTTCAATTAAGGTGGCGACTTACTGCCGACTTTTGGTCCTATTCTTTCTATGCAACGCTCATAGGGCTAATGTTGAAATGCCAAAATCAAAGGGGGGCCACGGTGCCCCGGTGCCCTCCCCGTTCCGCCGCCTATGACGGGATGGGGACGCTTTTATGGTCGTCGTTGGGGTCGTTGGGAGCTCGGCACTAATGGGGTCTGGGGATGATGTTGAAGGTTTCGCAAATCTATATTATGAATTATGTTTCATAAAAGAGATGCTATTTTTTGCACAACCCATTTAATATTTTTTTTTAACGTTTGCTATGAAAATGTTAACCCGCGCACCGACGGGAGTCTGCGCCAACTTCGCACCGACGGGGGGGGGCGGATGACCGCCCCCCCCTGAGATCTCGAGAACGAAGCAAGATAGCGACAAGCGGTAAACGGCATCGGATACGCACGGCCAAGATCTACAATTTTTACTAAGGTCATTTTCAGGTCAGGTCAAAGATGACGTCACAGGGGTCGAAAAAGTCAAAATGGCGGCGCTAGATATGGAGAGTTTTTCTCCAATAACTTTCGAATTAGTCAAGATAGGAACAAACTAAGGGCATCATCGTGATCCTCTCGTCAATCCGCATCGAATGATATATATGTTGACCTCTAAAGGTCAAGGTCAAAGGTTGACCTCAGGTCACGTGACCTCGAGGTCATCATGTATATCATTCGATGCGTCTTGACGAGCTGAACACAATGAGACCATCCACGCGTCTGTATCTTGTTCCTGTACGGAGTTATTGACCAAAAACCTTTGGTGACCTTTGATGACGTCACATGACCTCACAGCTGCCCAACAGCAAAACAGACCTCAAGGTAGTGAAGGTTGATCGTATATAAAGTCATGTATGGTATATGGGGCCATTCCGACCCGTTTTAGTGGTAAAAACAGGGAGTTGATTTTTCCCCCATTGACTTATAATGGGGAGGTCGCGAAATTGACCTGACCTTAGGTCACCGATATCAAAATTCCGAGATATACAAATTGTAGCTACTAATGACCTAATAATATCCTGCGACTTTCAAAGGCCTCCGACATCTACTGTAGCTCTGGCACGGTGACAAAGTTGCAAAAAAGTGACTTGAGGTTGGGTCATTCAAAGTGACCTGGTGACCTGACCTTAAAAGGTAGGAGGTTCAAACTTGCACACCATGTGTAAAATTGATGAGGTTATAGTCATACCAAATTTGCGCCGCGGTTTTCCCGCTATTCGCGAAAAACCTCAGGGGGGCGGACATCCGCCCCCCCCCCCCCGTCGGTGCGAGGGTTAAGCCTAGTTCCTTCAAGATTAGGTCCACAACTCCACAGCTTGCAGCAGAAGCTAGCTAACATAACAATTAAACCGCGCCGTGTTGGTGGCATGAACTTTCCGTCGAGTGCTGGGGGGGCCTCCGTCTAACTCGGCTCCTGGGCCACGTAGCGACACGCGGTAAGCGGCACTCGAAAGGGCGTCAAAAATAAGGAGGAAAACACTCGGTCATTTTAAGGTCAGGGCAAAGGTCAGGTCACCAGGGTTCATCAAAGGTCAAATTTAGTTGATTTCAACGATTTTTAACACCTGACGGCTAACTCGGGAACCAAAAGAGCTACAGTGCCGCGGAAAAGCGCATTCGCTAGCTCTTTTAACACTTTTTCGCCAACATGTCCTCAAATTTGACCTCAGATCAACGGTTTAGCCCCCAAAGGGCACCGCTCTGATTGACCTCAAATTTGACCTCAGATCAACGGTGTTTTCACCGCTCTAGCACGTCTCTGTCAAAAGTCAAAAAACTTCTGAAGACCTTTTATGTCCTAAAATGACCTCAGGGGCACACACAAGGGTCACAGGTGCAATTTTCCGATTCAGTGTGTCATGTTTACCTATGGACCGATCACGATGTTTGAGAGGGTGTAGAACGAAATTCGTCCAGAAGAGGCGCATTTCAATTTTCTCCCATTGACTTATACCTAATGGAGCAGTCGTAAAATTGACCTGACCTTAGGTCACAGACATAAAAAAATCCGAGGTATCCATTTTATACATACTGTTACCCTAAGCAATTACTGAAAGTTTTAACGTGATCGCTCAGTCGGTGTAGCTACAGCGAGCTTTCGATTTTTTTCTGAGGTAAGGTCATTTGACGTTATCTGGTGACCTGACCTTGAATGACGCTACGCGTCGCGTCGCCGTTTTTGAGATATTCGCGAAAAACCTGAGGGGGAAGGGCATAAAACGCCCCCCCCCCCCCCCCCCAGCACGGCGCGGGTGGTTGACATAGCGACTCGGACTGAACAAATGCCTTTAACGTTTCAACGGATGAATAAGGTGAGAGGATTGAGGTGGCTTGTATCGGATTTTCTTCTGCTTGTCGGTAGTTTAGGTTGAAGTTAATTTCGCGGGCTGTCCATAATCATTCAAGAGGGAAAATTCAGCTGCACATCGTTCGGGTCAAATTAATACCAAACATTCTCAAAATTTTGTAGTAAAGAGCCAGTAGTCTACGATATATTCAAAAAACAATTAGAAAAGAATAAGCGGACCGGTTTTGTCTATCAAAGACTTCATCAGCGCTTTTTCAAAAACGTATAAGAAGAAAACTATAGCACAGTGACAATCGTTTGAAGTAAAATTGGATTCAGTAAGAACTAAGAACTTCATTGTTTGAAAACCGCTGACAGTTGATAGCTCAATGACACTTAGAGCCGTGCATAAGGAGGCGTGAAAACTCTCTCCTCATCTCGTTCTATTACGAGAGGACCATGTCATGGCGTGAGAAAGGTGTTCTCAAAATAAATGACACTGTATGAGTGAATGAATAATCCGCGCCCCGTCACCGTTGGGCTATTGGCGGACCCTACCACCTGATCGGGTGGTGCAGCCGTTTCGCCTTCCACCTGAGGTCTCGGAAAGGTACCGACCGATTTTGAACATTCAAAGAGCGTTCGATAGCCCCACCAGGGAACTACCTTGTTACCAGGTTTCGTTGACCTAGGTGCAACCCATGACGTCACAAGTCAGGTCAAAGGTCGCATTTTTCACTGATTTAGTCTAAGGAATGCGTTACAGTCAGTTAACACATCAAATAAAAGGCATGTTATCGAAAAACATCGATGGAGCGTTGGTTGTCTATTACATATGTTGCCTAAAGAGGTCATTGATGCTAGGTCAGTTCACAGAGGTCAGGTCAGAACGCAACTGTGCTAGGGTCGTGTGATACATGTTTTATGGCCAATTTTACATTTAAAATTCAATGGTGTGGGCTAGACGGCCATTGGGGCCAGTTTAGATTACATTCTGGTGGAGGTCAGGTCAAGGTGTAAAAGAAAGTCAAATTTCAAAGTTGGTATTTTGCATAAAAGGGGTATCTATTCGATGCAGCTCGTCACAGGAAATCCAATGGTGGTCTTTGGCTTGCTCTATGTGCTCTGTGACGGCTAAAAATTGAATTTGAAAATTTTACGTAATACCTACATTTTGAGTAGTTTTTTTTTCCATAACTTTGCTAAAAATGGAGCTATTGAGTTTAAGTTTGGCATATCTAGAGCAGATGTTCTATAACATACATTCCAGTTTTAATTTTGAAAGTTGTTGGTATTTTCGGGGTGTTATACTTCTGTAGTTTTGATGGTGAAAATCAATTTTTGTTTGGAAACAAGAGTTGGCAGTTTGGTAGCGCTGTTTATGTTACATCTTTTTGATCTTGAATATTTTTCGTTATCTTCAAAACTGTAAGCGTGACAGCTCTTCCC